GCCCAGGACATAGAGAGAAGAGGCAAGGAGTCGATGATGAAATGCTTCTTGAGAATGTGCCACGTACAGACAGGATGGTAATTAAAACCTAAACACCTGGGGAAAACAGTGTTTAATGTCGGCATGTACCAAGAGACCCATAAGGCTGATCGATGTGTTCTGAGGAGCTAGCGTCCTGGTCAAGGATGAAAGTCTTCAAAGGCTCTCTCAGCAGAGATAATATTCATTAAGTGGCGATAACGCAGCAAGGAGAAGGGGTGGGAGTGGGGAGGGGGCACAGGAATTATAAAGAACATATATTCTCTAGTTTTTTTCTTTGCTGGGAACAGTGCACAGAGAGTACAAGGGTCTAACAACTAAATGATTGTCTGTGGCAGGTTTTTATTTTTTATCCTCACCTGAAGACATTTTTCCATTTTTTGTTCAGATAGAGTGGGAGGGGGAGAGAAAGAGAGAAACATCCATGTGAAAGGGACACATCGAGTGGCTGCCACCCGCACGACCCAACCAGGGCTGGAGATAAACCAACCGAGGTACGTGCCCTTAGCGGGAACCGAACCTGGGTCTCTCTGGACCGCAGGCCAATGCTCTAACCGCTGAGTCCAACCGGCCAGGGCAAGTGGCAGGTTTTTAAAGAAAAACAGTTTTGTTTTTTCTCTCTTCCAGTGAATTCTAATTGGGATTTTGTATTCTTTAATCCTTGAAGATGTTAACATCTCATGAAGGGAGACCAGCTAAGGGGTCGGGGGTGATGGGAAAGGTTCTGTGATAGAAATACAGAAGTTTTCCTTTAAGGAAAAATACAGACACACTCAGGGAGAATTTAAGAAGGAGACTGAGATTTCAGCATTAATTTTTTTTGTTTCTTTTTCTTTGCTCCATTTGCATTGTTCTTCTCATTTACCCTCTACATCCCAGCTGTTCATTTCAGCATCAGTTAAATCATCCCTTCTCATAGAAGATTATGTATATGTAATAATCTGCAGACACCCGCAAGCACTGGGATTTAACCTGGGGGTGCGGGGTGCTTTCCCTTTGAGGCGGGGTGACAGAGAGCTAAGCCTGCCTATCCGCTGTCCCTAGGATCCACCCGATCCTTGTTCCTCTGAGCCTACCTCAGACCTCAGAGACCAGGTGCAGGGTTCATTCTGGAAGACAGTATGCATGAGCCAGAATAATACCTGGGAGCAGCCCGTCTATGTCTCTTAGTCAAGACTTCCTCTGCTGACCTACGACGAGATTACAGTTCTTACTGTAACAGACCTGTCCACGGAAAGCCGCTGTAATTTACAACAGGTTTGCAGCAACACAGCCCATGGACGCTCATCCATTTAAACTGTAAGCAAAGGCCCGCTTTGTTCTGGCCTCTGATCCCAGCCCTGCCCCGTCCAAGCTGCCTGCAAGGCCAGGGCAGGATGACCGCTGTGGAGATGTGACAGAAGAACCCCACTGGTCCTCACAAGCAGCTAGAAATAGCAGTAAGGACAGGAAGGCAACACAGGTCTCTGGGACCCCAAGATAGTCACTCTGATGTCAGTATTATTCTCGTTGCTCCCACGGTTGTGAAAGGCGAACAGAAGTATCTGGTACAAAAGATGTTAACTGGTTACATAGTACCCGAGGGAACTCAAAGAACCAAGCAACCCTGCCCTTTCCCTGGCCGGGGGTAGAAGTCCTGGGAGACCTGGGAGACCTGGGAGGAACGTGACTGCCTTTGTCCTGCATAACTAATACCGCTTGAGCCTTCTTTTCTTCTTCTTTCCCTCCTTCTCCTCCTCCTCCTTACTCCCTCCCTTTTTATAAACGTAAATTCCCATTGATTGGGGAAATAGATTCACACTTTGAAATTCTGTGCAGGCACTATCTCTTTGGTCCAAGTATGTCCCTTTGGGGGTAAGAAATACATATTTCATGGGGATACATTCACCTCACACGAAGAAAAACTGTACACAAATATACTGCTGTGTCAACTGTATCGATTTGTGCACCATTGTAAAGACCTTCATCGTCCTCCAATATTTCTTAAATCTATCAGCCTCGCAGAAAGTGACCCGAAGGCCTCGTTTATCTGGAGAGGAAAAGAGGGGTGAAGACCGTCCTCTTCGGCCGCCCACAAACACGGTGGGTGAAACAGCCCAGACCTGGCTGCTCTGGAAGGGTCCCTGCCCCAGGGACACTGGTGCTCCCAGCACAGGCGGTGTCTTCTCTGCCTCTGCGGTAGGGTTGGCCGCGTCCTGGGTTCAGCAAGAGGCCCACGGCCAAACCCCTCTGTGGTCCTCCGGCTAACGCTACATGAAGTAGCAGCCGGGGTGCTGCTGGTGATCTGACACAGCAGGCTCGACGGCAGGGCTCCTGGCTGGATTCTGTCCTTCCAGCCCCGGACCACGTCAGGACTTCACAGTCTCTCCAGGTCCTGCTCCTACAAACCACCGTGGAATCCCCAGGTCACCACACACGCAGATGCAAATGAGGAGACTGCGCTTCCAGAGGGTGACATCTTCTGTGTTTAAATCATGTTCTTGTCTAATGGCATCATGAAAACAGACTATCACTAGATTCGGACGATTCTCAGGTCTCTTCTAGTAAGCTTTCGCTTGGCGTCTATCACTTTACAGACGGGAACGTGTAAATGACTCCCCCAGAGGCACCTGCCAGGTGGACACACTCTCAAGGGGACTTCCGATTACAAAGGTCATATTCCACTTTTATGGAGATACAGGACCTCTGAGGGTGGCATGCTGGTTTTGTTTCTCCTTGTGGCCTGTGTTGCCTGTAGTCTGTTGATTGTTAAACTAAAGTGACTAAAAATGTGAACTAGAGGAAAAATCAATAGAGATTACAAGATTAATTCAAAGTCAACAAACATAACTAAAGCTCATTAAAAAAAATGGAAGATATAAGTTCATCTCCTCAATTTAGGACTATATACAGCAGATTGTAATTGTTGATGGCGGACCAATAACCAGCCAGTAAGGGGACAATAAGAATGTGCAGGGTCGATCTCTAAAATGTGTAAGAAGGACATCATTGAACTGTGCGTGTGAGGCTGTGGCCGTCAGCCACATGTGGGTATTTACATTTAAATTAATTAAAATTAAATGAAATATATACTTAGACCAAAGAGCTTCTCAGTCACACCAGCCATATTTCAAATACTCAGTAGCCCAATGTGGCTCATGTCTACAGTACTGGACAGCTTAGAGAAACATCCCCATCACTATAGAAAGTTCTAATAACACTGCGACTTATAGAAGATAATCACTACTATTATCTTTCATAATTATATAAAGAAGGAGGAGGAGGAAGGCGAGAAAAGGAGAATAATGTGAAGAGAAAACATTGACTAAGCTTAACTGTTCTGTGCTAAACACTTGAAATGACTTATTTCATATACTTCTCACAAGTTTCCTCACGAGGTGGGGACTATAATTATCCCGTTTCTAATTCCGATGACTGTGCCTGGAGAGATTAAAAAGTCGCCGTGCTTGTACACTTGATCATTAGCTCAGCTGGGTTTCCACTACAGCCATCAGACCAGTCAGTGGGCAACTGGTAACTTACGCAGCTCCTACTGAAGAACTTGGAACGTTTAGAGGGAACAGTACATGTTGTATAAGTGGTTCTCTATCCTAGATACATACCAGAAGCATCTGGGGAGCTTGCTCAAGGTACAGATGCCTGAGCCCTAATCCAGAGTAACGGGGGGGGGGGACCGGAGCTTGTACCTTTGGGGACCGCCTAGTGCTTTGGATGTGCAGGCCAGTGTTGAAGATAACTGTGTAGAGATGTTCTCCTCCACCTCCCACAGTCCAGAAACAAAGTGTAGACCCTACCCGAGGCCACTGACAGTCACCACTGACAGATCAGAAATGAGAACCTAGATATCAGTGCAGAATCCTACAGACTAGGGCTAAGGGCGTATTCATGAACACCACTTTTCTGTTTCCTGATGAATGCCGTCACTTCATGTAATTCATGCAATACTTAGAAATTATGTCGAAATTCACAATTTGACAACAAGCTTTTACAAGCAAACAGTGGGTGTAGCACCACTCTCTTCCTGGAAAAAATAAATAGGGTGTCCTTCTTTAAAAGCAAACATTTTCTTCCTAAGAAGCTAACACCAGTCTTGGAAGAGTAACAGGAACAGTACGATGTATATGGCTGCCAACCAAGAAACCCGATTTCTAGTCCCAACTGTGCCCACATCTCTGCCACGGGAGCAAACCACTTCCTTTAGTTAAAGCTTAGTTTTCTCATCTATGCAGTTAGGGTGTGGTCTGTGATGATCTCCAGTGGTTCTCAACCTCTGGGTCACGACCCTTTTGGGGATGGAACGACCCTTTCACAGGGGTCGCCTAAGACATAAAAGTAGCGAAATTACAGTTATGAAGTAGCAACAAAAATAATTTTATGGTTGGGGGTCACCACAACACGAGGAACTGTATTAAAGGGTCGCGGCATTAGGAAGGTTGAGAACCACTGATCTACACGGTCCATTCACGGTCCATTCCATAGTAGCTCCCTCCTGGCATCTGTATGCAGGTTGAGTACACTTTAGAAATGAAACATCCAGCCTGCTGTAGAACAATGCATTTGCTTTCATCCCAGTTAATCTATTTACCCCATATCAAGGGAAAGCAGGGGGCAGCAGATGAAAATCCCATCTTGGCTTTTATCTTGTCCAGGCTCATTCTGACTCTTGTCACTGATTGGCCAGAAGTCTTATAAGAGAGTCAGCACCAGCCATCTAACAAGACTCATTCCCTGTAGGTGCCTTTCGGAAGTGGTAACGACATACCTACCCCCTGCCCTCCTATAGTCACAGCTGCTGATCTGAAAATTACGATGTGTCAGGCATCTACCACCTTAACGTTCATCAACTCATCTGTACGGCTCTTAACGCTTAACTGTAATGGGTCTTTATGTGGCTGAAGAGGCTAGCCAACCAAGACAGAAGTCATCATGAATAAGTAGCATGCTGAATATCCATTTCTTACCTTGCGCTTGTTGGTAGGACACACGTAGAGATAGCTTAAAATTGTTTTCAACCCAACTTTATCATTCAGCTTCTCATAGGTTGTTCCATAGTCGGTTGACCTATAATTCAAAAGTAGCATTAGTGAGGACAGAAGTATACGTCATTTGGCTGCTTGTCAGTCTAATGTATGTTTTACGTAGTAGAATGGCTCTCAGGAGGTTGCTCAATGATTCATGTAGAACATAATGATGCTTAATTATGTACACAGTAGCATCATGTGAGTGGTTAGCATTTGCATTTAAATTGAATTGGTAAAAATTAAAACTCTATCTCTCTACAGCTCCTTAATGTGCGCGTTGCCTAAAGGATGTGGTTAATTTTAAAAGATTAAGAGAGGAGCGTGTCCCTTGAATTGACCAAAGAATAAAGAGATTTTACTTAGATTTGACATTTCTAAACTTAAGCTTTATCTATAGCGCAGTGGAAAAGCAGGTTCTCCAGATTTATTAACAGATTGTGTTTTCTTCCGTGAGTCAGAGTATATGGTGGGTCAGTCCCTTCAAAGGTCATTCAGTCTTCTCCTATTATTTGAGAGTAAGAAAATGTCTCAATATGTGAAATTTCACACTCTTACTTGCTGGCCTTATCCAGTGGTAAGAAACATGGAGCTGAGAGGACATTACCTTTCGGCACCGATCCTACCTTTGTGGAGATTCTTTCATCTTTATCGAGCTATTGGTCAATAACTTATTCATTCAGATTGAATAAATAGGACTTAGTCGCCTTCTCTATGAAAGTATATTACATATTTCAGAATTTTAATCTTATCGGATCATTATTACCACTATGTGCCGTGGAGAATATTATCTGTATTTGAAGAAAGTAGTTGAATGAACTTATGTGGCCTATTCCAAGAAAAGAGCGGATAAATGGACAGCTGGAATTTGAATCCAGGGATTCTAGCCCTAACCCTGTGTCACTAATATACCACAGATTTTTTTCTTTTTTTAATTTAAAGAAAACAGATATAACTAAAAGTTTCTTTCAGCCTTCTTTTTACATATAGGAGTTTCCCGATACAATTGGTTCATTCATTCATTCATTTATCATCCATTCATACTTATTTGTAGAGCTCCTGGAAATGTACCAGGCCCTACCAGCATCCAACACATGGCTCCTACTCTCAAGAATCCAACAGCTTTCCGTGAAAGGCAGATACATAAAGTTATAATGTGTTAAGTGCAACAATACAGATAAGAACTAACAAGGCTTAGAAAATACAGTTGGTTTAATTAGAAAAACACAAAAATGTAATCATTTTAATTCATTTCTAGTATTATAAAAAATACAAATTCCTATAGGCCAGAAAGACTAAATAGAAGAAGTTCGTGATAACAATCTCATCACCGTGCATTAAGGACCCACTCCAGACCACACACTGCACTATGAAAGCTGTGTAACAGCCCTGGCCAGTTTGGCTCAGCGGTTGAGCATTGGCCTGTGGACCAGAGAGACCAGGGTTTGGTTCCCACTAAGGACATGTACCTCGGTTGCAGTTTGTCCCCAGCCCCGGTTGGGGTCGTGTGGGTGGCAACCAGTCGATGTGTCTCTATCACATCTGTTTCTCTCTCTCTTCCTCCCTTTCTCCCTCCTGCTCTATCTGAAGATAAATGCAAAAATGTCCTCAGGTGAGGTTAAAAAAAAAGAAAGAAAGAAAAGAAAGCTGTGTAACATGTAAATCCGGAATTCAAGAAATAAGAATTTATTCTGGCTGATGATCTGGGGTATTTTCACCCTAAAAGTTATATATATTACCCATAAACATTTTAAATAATATTGCATTCTTACAATGATACATTGTTATATAATATGTACTATATCTGTATATATTACAAATAGTCCATAATTCATAGATTTAGATGATACTTCAAATCATGGAAGACTGGGGTATTATGCACAAGTTTTTGGAAGAACTATGGATCTTGAAACTGGAAAATAGGTAAGACTTTAGAAAAGGGAAGTGGTAAGAACACCGTAAACTAGAAGGCACTTTGTGTAAACCAAAGATATAACCTGCTTTCTTCTGCACCGTTTGAAGAGCATTCTAAGCTCTTTCATAGGAGATCTCATTTATGGACCACATTCATCTTTTATTTCTCCTCAAACTCATGCTGATGTGAAATTTCTTCCTACTCTCTAAGAAATATCTGAGATTTATTACATAACTCAGCGCAGTCTTGGTGCTTGGCTCTCCCCCTGCACCCCCACCACTGTGACCCTGGCCTTACTCGTGTAAGTGAGAAGGTTGAAAGGTGAGTAAAAGGAGAACTTTCTCTTCTTATTAAGACTTATCTGTCTCAGAAATGTTACTAGCTTTTCTCTAGCTCCTTTTCTTGGATAGCTTTTTCTATTCATTGTTCTGAACAATACTTATGAATCAAGAACAAACAACTAGATGCAAAATCTACATGGGAGTGGTGGGATGAGGAGGATGAAATGTGCAAATACTGTTACATTAATAACTTTTGACCAGCGATGGGGAAATTAGTAGGACTCTGTTGGAGATGAAGAAATGTTCACTTTTCCGAATGGGGGCGAATGGGAAAGGAGGCTAGAGAAGTAGGGACCCGTCCATAGAGAGGTGATGATTAGTTTTCGTCATTTCTATCAACCTGACCTCTGAGCTACTCAATGTCCTTGTATTTTATCCTCACCCAAGGACATTTTTTCCATTTTTTGTTCAGATAGAGTGGGACGGAGAGACAGAGAAACATCGACGTGAAAGGAACACACTGAGTGTTTGCCACTTGCACAACCAACCAGGGCCGGGGACAAACTGCAACCGAGGTAGTACGTGCCCTTAGCAGGAACCGAACCTGGGTCTCTCTGGACCGCAGGCTGATGCTCTAACCGCTGAGCCAAACCGGCCAGGGCTCAATGAATATTTTTACACTACAAAATACAAGGACAAATAAGGATTGTTCTATAAGGATTCTGTATGAAATCATCCTCATTTGTGTGTGTGTTTGTGTGTGTGTATTTAATTGAAATCTCAATGTGACAAGATAATGGAGGAACTAGCTCAGATGTACATTAGCAACATTTTTTTCAAAGATCTTATGCTATGTTATTGGAGGCTTTCCTCTTACAGGGGTGGGGAATGTCCGGCCTGCGGCCTGTGTAAGGCCCATGGAGTCAATACTAGCCAACATCACACGCCTCACCAAATTAGCTTGACCAAGTGTAGCAGGCTAAGTTTTAGTTGATCATTTTGTATGGCCAGCAAATAATGTTTTATATATATACATACATACACACACACACACACACACACACACACACACACACGTGTGTATATATATATATATATGTATCTCCAAATGGCCCTGGGCAGCAGAAGTACTCCCCAGCTCTGGCAGGTCATCTAGATCCTTCACAGTATCTTTCGTGTCTTTTTGTGCTATCTCTTGCCCCTTGAATGTTCAAACCTCAAAAGTAAAATAAAAATTGTAATTCTCAGTTCCAGCAAAGCTACATGTTTAAACATTATGGCACCGTAATAACCAACAGACAGTAGGAGAAAAGACGATGCCTTTCCACAACCCAGAATGTCACAGACTCGCAGCTGCCCAAGGCTGTCCCATAAAGCTAGAACTGGAGTGTCGGCATGTGCCGTGGATAAACTAACAATCAGCTGGGATACACGGGTACACTGGTACAGGAATGCCAACACTTGCAAACCAGCTGGTAAATATTTACTGCAGCAAGTTGTCTGAGTAGAACTTGTGCCAACCTCACCACATGGCGTCTTCCCTGGGTCTTCCTTGATCTCCTGACAGTCCGGCAGTCAAAGGACTGGGGGCTGGCACCGCAGAGGTCCTCAAGGAACTTGCTCCAACACTAAGAGGAGCCCTGTTCTCATTAGTCGGTGCCTCAGCCAATCCCAGTGAAGAAGACAGTGCCCTTGGAGGCGGCACTGCACCCTGAGAGGCAACTCCCATGCCCATCTGCAAACCCCCTTCACAGCTAACAGATGCTTCCGGTTATCTTGCACGGTCTGTGGGAACTGCGGTCTCCCGGGGATGTGGGCTCTGAACCAGCAGAGGAGACAGACAGGGAGCAGCAGGCTGGCTGGCGAGCCAAAGTACTGCGGTTGAGTATTCTAAGTATCCCTAGGGAGGGGGACAGGGAAGTATTATCCAAGATAAAAAAAGAATGTTAGGAAATTCTTGATGAAACAAGAGTTAATGTTCCTTTACTTCAGAACTAATAAATTTCATTATTCTCATATATGTACATAACTGATATTATTCTAATTAATACTGTGACCCTCTTTAGTGCATATGTCATAGCATTTCCCAAAGGTATTTGATTATAAGATCATTCTTGAGGGTTATGTAATGAGATACGTGTTCTGAACAACATACTTTGGGGAACACAATATCAAATATATATATATATATATACACACACACACACACACACACACATACACACACACATATATTTTAATAAAGGAAAAGAAAGATTATGGATCTTGGTTTTACAAGAAAAGGGGAACAATAAAATTATATAAAACAAAATTGCAAACAGAAAGGCCAACCTATGCTAACCATAAAGTGATTATTGTTGTAAAGGCAAAAAACAACAACCAAGGGAACAATATTTAAAAATTATGTATCATACAAAGACACAGACATATTTAAGATACAATATAAGTAGCTTTGAATTCTCAATTTGTACCATTTTTAAAAACATTCCAGCCCGGCAAGTGTGGCTCAGTGGATGAGCACTGACCCATGCACCAGGAGGTCGCCGGTTAGATTCCCGGTCAGGGCACACACCCAGGTTGTGAGCCAAATCCCCAGTGGGAGGCATACAGGAGGTGGCCAATCAATGTTCTCTCTCATCGATGTTTCTCTCTCCTCCTCTCCCTTCCTTTCTCTCTAAAATTCATAAAGAAAAAAATTAAGAAATAAATAAAAACATTCCAAAGGAAGCATTTTTTTTCAGGTTTTGTTTACAGGTCTACAGAAAAACAGAACACCTGTCAATACCTATGTTGTACTAGAAAAACAAAAATGTTAAAAAATAAGCATTCCATGGGTCGTCATACCCC